GTCTTCTAAAGTGCCAGGTTTACAGGCATAAGCCACCACATCTGGCCACATTCCTTGTTTTGAAGACATTGAGAATTTTGAGAAGTCAAGTATTTTGCAGTGTCTCAAATTTGTGTTTATATGATGTTTTTCTCATAGATAGACTGGGAAGATGAAGTACCATTCTCATTATATCATATCAAGGGCACATGCTATCAACATGACTTATGAATATTAATCTTTATCACCTGTCCAAGGTAGTGTTTGCTAGCTTTCTGACCTGTAAAGCTACTTCCCCTCTTCCATACTCTACTCTAGGGAAGCAAGTCACTAAGTACAACCCCACTCTCAATGGTTAAGGAGTGAAGGTCCACTACTTTGAGTGGGGAGTAGCTACATAAGTTATCTGGAATTTAGTACAGATTAATGTCATCTCTCATTTATTTATGTCAATATGGAGTCACAGATATTTATTTTATACTTTGGGTTATAATCCAATACTAAATTACTTTGTTGCTCAAATTGTTCTAGCTTTGGCCAATGGGAGCTCTTTCAGATTAGCTTATATGCCTCTGACAAACTCCTATCATTTTTGAAAACTTTTAAGCACATACTATAAAATTTACCATCTTAACCATTATTTACTTATTTATTTATTTATTTTTGAGACAGAGCCTCACTCTGTTCCCCAGGCTAGAGTGCCATGGCATCAGCCTAGTTCACAGTAACCTCAAACTCCTGGGCTCAAGCAATCCTCCTGTCTCAGCCTCCCTAGTAGCTGGGACTAGAGGCATGCACCACCATGCCCGGCTAATTTTTTCTATATATTTTTAGTTGGCTAATTAATTTCTTTCTATTTTTAGTAGAGACGGGGTCTCACTCTTGCTCAGGCTGGTTTCGAACTCCTGACCATGAGTGATCCACCTGCCTCGGCCTCCCAGAGAGCTAGGATTATAGGCATGAGCCACCGCGCCTGGCCCATCTCAACCATTTTTAAGTGTACAGTTCAGTAGTGTTAACTATGTTCACATCGTTGTGCAAAAGAACGTTGGAACTTTTCATGTTAGAAAACTTAAACTCTATTGTCATTGAACAACTATCCATTTTCCCTTCCCTGTAGGCCCTGGTAACCACCATTCTACTTTGTTTCTATGAGTTTGACTACTATAGGTATCTCGCATAGAATTATATAGCATTTGTTTTTCTGAGACTGGCTTATTTCACTTAGCATAATGCTCTCAAGGTTTATCCATGTTGTAGCATGTTACAAGGCTTCCTCCCTTTATAAGGCTAATATTCCATTGTATGGATACATATTTTCTTCATTTATTGATCTGTAAATGGACTTTTGGATGCTTCTACCTCTTGGCTATTGTGAATAACACAGTAATGGACATGGGTTTCCAAATACTCTTCAAGATCCCACTTTCAATTCTTTTGGATATATATCCAGAACTGGAATTGCTGGATCATAAGGTAATTTTTTTAGTTTTGTTAAAGGAATAACCACACTGTTTTTCACAGCAGTTGTACCATACTACATTCTTAACTACAGTGAATAAGGCTTCCAATTTCTTCACATCTTCACCAACACTTGATATTTTGTTTGGTTTTTCATTCAAATTTTTTTTTTAATAGTAGCCATCCCAATGGGTGAGGTATTATCTCACTGTGCCTTTGAATTGCATTTCTCTAATGATTAAGCATCTTTTGAGCATCTTTTCATATATTAATTGACAATTTGTATATTTCTTTGGAGAAATATCTATTCAAGTCCTTTGTCAATTTTTAAATTGGATTACTTGTTTTTTTATTATTGTGGAGTTGTAGTTCTTAATATATTCTGGATATATTATTTGTAAATATTTTCTCCCATTATGTAGGTAGCCTTTGTACTCTTATTTCCTTTGACGCACAGAAGTTTTTCGTTTTGATGTGGTACCATTTGTTTATTTTTGTTCTTGTTATCTGTGCTTTTGGTGTCATATCTAAAAAAACCATTGCCAAATCCAGTGTCTGCCTTGGCCTCTCAAAGGGCTAGGATTACAAGAGCGAGCCACCATTCCCAGCCACATATGGCCTTTTTTATTTTGAGGTATTTTTCTTATATTCCTAGTCATTTTTATCATGAAAAGCTGTTGAATTTTGTCAAATGCTTTTCTGTATTGATATGATTATGTGCTTTTCTCCCCTTCATTCTGTTAATGTGGTGTATGACAAGATTTGGAACATCTTTGCTTTCCAGAAATAAATTCCCCCGGTCATGGTGTATAATCCTTTTAATGTGCTGCATTTGGTTTCCTGATATTTTGTTGAGATTTTTTGGATTAATATTTATCAGACTAATATTTATATTGGTGTATAGTTTTCTTTTTCTATAGTATCTTAGTGGCTTTGGTAAAGTCCTTTAAGCTCTGTTCCTTTTTATCTATTTATTTTTTTGAGACAGGGTCTTGCTCTGTTGCCCAGGGTAGAGTGCAGTGGCACCATCATACTCATTGCAACCTCAAACTCCCGGGTTCAAGCAATTCTGTTGCCTCAGCCTCTGGAGCAGCTGGGAGTACAGGCATGCACCACCATGCCCAACTAATTCTTCTATTTTTTGTAGAGATGGATCTTGCTCAAGCTGGTCTTGAACTCCTAGCCTCAAGTGATCTTCCTACCTCAGCTTCCCATAGTGCTGGGGTTACAGGCATGAGCCACTGTACCTTGGCCTGTTCTCTTTTCCTTTTATTCCTCTGCCTCAACAATGACATGTCTTCAAGTCCATTGATTCTTTCCTCTCAAACCTATTGTTGAATCCTTTTAGTGACTGTTTTTTCAAATTCAGTTACTGTATTCTTCATTTCTAGAATTTGTTTAATAGTTTATCTTTGTTGACATCCTAATTTTGTTTGTATATGCCATCATTTTCCTGATTTTGTCTATTTGTGTTCTTTAGCTCATTTGGCATCTTTAAGATGGGTATTTTGAATTCTTTGTTGGGTAATTCATATGTAAGATACTGGGCTATAAAGACAATGGACATCTTCAAGCTTCTGTTTACTGCTTGTTTGCTAACTGCAAGGCATTATGAGTACATTATGGGATGCAGAGGAAAAAGACAAAGAACACGGAAACCGGAGTCTCTCAGCTAGGACCCAGAACAGGTTAGAGCCTATCAGGGGCAGGATGAAGTAAGAATCACTGTGGGGGCGGATGCATGACCAGCGTGTAAACAACTGAGTTATAAAAAGGGGACTAACACACAAAGGAGGGTCCCTGCCCGGAGAAGAGGCCACTGCGCTGGCACTCTGGGGGCTCGGACCCTAGCTCGAGCTAGACAATAAAACTCCTTTTGATAATTACAGCCTCGGTGACTCTGTCTCTGTCCTGCAGCCTTGAGAATCTCGAATATAACACATACATCTCCATTTCTTTAGGGTTAGTTTCTGGAGATGTTTTGTTCCTTTGATTGGGCCATGTTTCCCTTTTGTACTGTATTTTTGTTGAGACTTGGACATTTGAAAAAACAACCACCTCTCCTGGCCTTTTATAGCCAGTCTTCATAAAGAGCAATACATTCACCAATTAGCCCAGCCAGAGATTCTAGGAGCCTCTCGAATCTCTTCTGGGAATGCCCCTTTCTGGATATGTGGGTGTGATTTCCCACATAAAGAGGTTTGCACGTTTCTTTTCAAGGAACTCATGATTCATGATTTCTTGCTCTCCCTGGCATCTGTCTGTGATACTACAGTCTCTCTGATACTATAACAAGACTGTTGCTCTCACATTTCTTCTTAGCAGGCCTGAGGTATCCAAAGTGTGACACTGTTCCTGTCGAACAAAAATCAGCTCCACAGACAGCCCCACGATAAGCTAAAACACTGGATACACACTCCACTCTATTCTCTTCCTCTTGAAAAAGCAGCTGCAAGTTGGCAGTTTTCTCCAGATTGTGCTGCCCTGTGCTTAGTACTAGGAGGAGTTTTCAATGGAGGGCAAATTCAATGGACTTTCTTACCTGATTCAAATTGCCTTTCTTGGTTTTTGCACTCACCTGGGTGCTGCAACCTTTAAACTGATTTCTGGAGTTCTCACAAAAGCCACTTGGTCCATATATTGTTGTTAAGATAAAGTCTCTATGGGGCTTCCTATTATGCCATTCTCCACACACCATTGTTTTTTCAGTACTTAATTACTATCTGGCACTACAAGATGCCCCAGGCTCATTTTGTATATTCCCAGCTACAGCTCTAGAATAAGCCATTCTCCCTGGGAACCATTCCTTTCATTAGAGAATGGTATTAGGAATCAAGATCTGAGTGTACTGACTGCAGTTTGGTAGAGCATATTTCCAATAGCTTCCTGAGAAAGAGTACATGGAAGATAACTATTTTTGAGACCTAATTCATGTCTCAAAATAGCTTTACTCTACATCTTTATACTTATTTGATAATTTGGTTGGGTAAAATTTTAGCTAGCAAACCTTTTCCTAAGAATTGGGGAGATTGTTTTTGCTTTCTGTGTTGTTGTTGAGAAATCATTACCAATTATTAATCTTTTGTATCTGTCTGACCTACTTTTTTCTTTCTAGAAACTTAGTCTTTATATTTCAATTATGTGCCTTGGATGAAGTATATTTTCATGCATAGTGCCTGGTTGTGTCTTTTAGTTCTGCAAACTTAATTTATTTTTTCTTTTTTTGAGACAGAGTCTCACTTTGTTGCCTAGGCTAGAGTGAGTGCCCTGGCATCAACCTAGCTCACAGCAACCTCAAACTCCTGGGCTCAAAAAATCTTTCTGCCTCAGCCTCCCTAGTAGCTGGGACTAAAAACATGCGCCACCATGCCCGGCTAATTTTTTCTATATATATTAGTTGGCCAATAAATTTCTTTCTATTTATAGTACAGACGGGGGTCTCACTCTTGCTCAGACTGGTTTCGAACTCCTGACCTCGAGCAATCTGCCGGCCGCAGCCTCCCAGAGTGCTAGGATTACAGGCGTGAGCCACGGCGCCCAGCCAGTTCTGCAAAATTTAAATGTTTATTATTTCCTGACCTTACTTTTACTCTTCCTGGAACTCCTACAATTTGGATTTTGGACCTCTTGGACTCTAATTTTCATATAGGCTCTCTTTTCTGCCATCTTATATCTTTACCTTTAATCTGCTTAACATTTGGAAAATTTCCTCACTCTATTTTTCCAGGGACTATTTTTCATTTCTGTTATTATGTTTTAAATTAACAGGAAAATTTTTTTTCTTCTCTGAAAGTTCTATGCCTTGTAGCATTCTGCTCTTAATTTTCTAGATGTAGTCTTACCTTACATCGCCAAGGATATTCATAACAGAGTTGGCGGGGGAAGTTTTGTTCTCATTGCATTTGATTCCTCTAAGTTGCTTTTCTCTTTTGGATGCTTTCTTCTAGATAAAGTCTCATGAGTAATAGTTGGGGGCTAAAACACTAACTGACAAAAGATAATGGGCAAGACTTGTTAACTTTGAACTTAATTGTTCATGGTGAGGCATATTTTTTGTAATCTCTGGTATCAATATGTTTACATTTTTCTTATTTGGTATGGTGGATAGTATATATAAAGCCACTTAATTTTGTTTCCAGTATAATGCTGGGTAGAAAGAAATTTGGCTCTGCTCTTTGAATGTTATACTAGATAAGTGTGTCTTTGCTTGGGGACCCTGGGTCATACTGGATGGCCTTAACAATGTGGTCTATGGCTGGGGTTGGACAAACCCATACAGTCTTAGGGTAGGGGGCGATCACATCAGAAAGACCAAGAACGTGACTTGGGTGGACGTTTGTGGTCATGCACTATCAGTTGCCCTAGACACTACATGAAGTCCAGTAAAAAAACCTCTGGATTCCAACGCTCGAGTGAGAGTCTTCGGTTGGCAGTACTTTGTACATACTGTCACACATTAACGCTGGTAACGTTCTGTGATTCTAGGGGGACAGAACAGACCTGTGTTGAAGTCTGCTATCTGCATCTTTCTTTGGCTGATTTTGATCTGTAATATTTCCCTGCGATCAATTATAACCATGAATACAATAGCTTTCGTTGAGTTCTGTGAGTCCTAGCAAATCTTCTAACCTGAGGGTTGGTTTTGGGAAGCCTCCAGACTTGCAAGTACCCTTGTCTTCTATTCACTCTGATTGCCATCAACCAATAGTCACTCTATTACCCTTTCTAAAGAATAAACCTCCAAATGCCAACTGTGGTGGGATAAAGAGTTGCCCAGCAATGTGGCAATGAGGACAAGCCCAAGGCTTTCCACTCTCCATCCAATCTTCTCTATTTCTGTGCCTCTTTTACCCTGTCCCAGAGGTAACTGGTACTGAGAATTCTGAATTATAAATAAATTTATTAGTTTCTCCATTGCTAGTTTAGAATTGGGCTTTCTTGGGTCTAGAAAATTAGGTAACACCCATCCATCTGCTTTCCAATTCCCCAGTTCTGGCTCTTGTTTCTTCTATTTTCTCTAGCTTTGTGGGTTTTTGTTTGAATGCATCTGTTGTAGCAGCCATACAGACACATCATTCAGATCTCCCTTCACAAGAATCTGATGTGAGGAGTGTAGTTGGTACTTTCTGATCCATCAAGGCATTTGTGCCAAAGCCATAACCACTGGCCTGCTCTCAGACACTAAATGAGCAAGGCAGGGGCAAAAAGCTAGGTCATTTCTGCCTAATTTTAAACTCCACTAAAAGTAATCCTTGCCTAGGGACTCTACATGGGCTTGACCAAGACTGTGTCAGAGCTGCATTGCAGTCTAGGCATTTTCTAGTCAGTCTTACTTTCTTTTCTCTTTTCACAGGTGTCAGGCTTATATTGGCAGTCTGAAGGTTCTCTCTACCCATACCTACTTAACCCCCCTATCCTTCCTTTATGTTTCCTCCAATAAATTCTTATATGTCTAATTTTACCTTGGCATCTGGCTTGAGGACCCAAATCATCACCTAGGATTTTGAAAAGAAGTTTTATTAGATGTTTAGTCCACTATCTTAATACAGATATCACTATAAAGTTTTTATGTTTTTCAAAGATTACACATAATGAGTTTCATTAAACTATGGGAGAATGAATTACCTCCAACACATTTATATCTGAGAGTTTGTTTATTGTTCTGATTTGCTGAAACTTAAAATATTCCATCAAATTACCCAGGAAAATCCAGGTAACAGAAATATATAACATGTCCATTTTTTTAAGAGGTCTGGAATAAATTTAAAAGGCCATAAAATTATATATATATATATGTATATATATGTATTATGCCATTAAAATCACTTCTATCTTCTGTACTTAAGAACTACAGAAATAAACTTTGTTGTGGTGCTGAGGTAACATTACAACCTACTCCCAAAATGACTGCATAGGTGTTTAAGGTTAAGTGTGAAGATTACCATGAGGTCTCAAGTCACTTGATTAATCAATCTCATTTGAATTTTAGACCAAAAGCAGCAAATTATAAATGCACCTGAAGGAATATCTTCAATGTGTCCACAAATGTGTATGTATATGCAGGGGATAGGTGCAGGTTAGGGAAAGGCTGACTGAACAACATTGATAACTGAATGTTAGGAGTCTGCCGTTGTTGGTAATACAGAAACATACACAGTCTTCATATTCAAAGTCTTCATGGGGATGTCTTCTGTAATTTCTAGAATGAAAAGAAAAAGGTTTTCTGTTTTTAAATCAATAATTTATTTACTGTGGGTATTTTAAAAAATGTTAACTTCCTATGTAGTAAAGAGTTTAGCTTCATCCTAAGGGAGATCTGACCTTTGTCCTAGGCTCCTGAGAGGAACCTCTAAATCCTTGGAATTTCCTAAGAGGAGTGTCTTTGTTACTCATGGTGGGCACTTTGACCACATCGGATAGTTTATGCTAATGAAATGAGACTCAGGTAGAGTCAGCCACACCAGAAAGACCAATTATGTGATTTAGGATGGAGACTTTGGCTCAGCTGACAAAGATAACAAACACGTGGGCAATTTGAATCAATCAGGCCTATGTAATGAAACCTCAATAAAAGTCTGGACACCAAGGCTCACGTCAGCTTCCCTGGTTGGTAACACTGTGTGTTGTTACATATTAGGGACGGGAGGATAAAACACTGTCCATGACTCCACGGGGAGAGGATGATCGGAAGCTCCTTGTTTGGACCCCTCCCAGTTTTCTGCCCTATGCGTCTCTTTCTTTGGCTGTTCTAATTTGTATTCTTTCCCTATAATAAACAAAACTGTGAGCACAATAACTTTCAGTAAGTCTGTGAGTCCTTTTAGCAAATTACTGAACCTGAGGTGGTTAGGAAAACCCTCAACCGTGTAGTTGGTGCCAGAACTGATCTTCCCTCTGAGTTTGTAGTTGAACCACAGCTCCTTGTAGTTACAGCTAGAAATTTTGGGCAGACTACTGAAGTTTTCTGGAGGACTGTGCCCTCACCTTACAGTCTTGGCTCACTCTGGGTACTGCCCAAGATGTCCCCCTCCAAATATTTCCTATACCAAAACTGAGCATCCAAAAGTATAACACAAATGGAACCGCTTAAAACACACTGAATATGTAACTCAAAAAGAAAAAAAGAGAGAGAGGGAAATGAACATTTTAACAAAGTTATTTGCCTACTATGATGCATTTTGCTTCTAGCCAGATCTGAATTTAAAGGGAAAGGACATCCTTTCTCTAAAAACAGCTCTTGATCTAGCAGGCAGTCTTGGATGTGAAAAATACTCTCAAAGCTGCCTCCTTAATAGATAATGATGGGATCTGGAGACAATATATAGAGTCTAGTGGAATAAGCAAGAAGACATCAAACAGTTATAAGCATTTTTTATCCTCCTAGTTTATTAATTCTTTATGAAAGATGATTCTGAGAGGAAAAACATGATGAAAATAAGGCTATAGATAGGAGATTGGAAAATAACATTGAATTGCAAAAATTTCCAGCTTTGTGGTAATCTTGGGTAAATCACTTAACCTTTAAGATCTTACCTACTACACTTCTGCCTGTTTAACCTCATAGAGTAAAAAGAATGTATTAAGACAGTACAGGAACGACCTGGTTATGTGAAACATAAGTGGTATTATAAATATCTAATTCACACAGACATGATTCTACCCGACAGTTTCAACGATATTCCTGCATTTATTTGCACAGAACAAGTGAGGGATGACATTTCTTCAGCTCCACTGCACACAGCACTTGGTGCCCCACAGATTTGAGGGATAAGGTAAAGGAGTTAAGAATATCTGAGGTTTTACATAAATTCATCAAAACAGGAAGCTACATTTATAGATGACCTTTACTATCATATCACAATGAAAAAGCCAAGAGTGTTGGAGAATTTAAAGAGCCTTATGATATAAGGGAAAGATTCATGGATATAACCAGAAAGACAGGTAAGGCCCAAAACAGGAAGAATCTTGCAGGAAGCTAAAATTCTGAAGCATTACATAATAAAGAGCCTTGTGGGCTTTGAGCAGGAAAACCACCTCAAGGGAGGAATGTTCATGAAAATAACTCTGGTAGAAGAATAAAGGTGGAAGACTAGTGATTTCAATGGATGATGATGCCATAAACTAGGTAAGAAGGAAAATGACAAGGGAGAGTCATTGAAAATAAATCTGACATACAGTGGTTGTGTTTCATTATAGGGAAGGAGAGAGGGGAAACAAGTGGAAACATAGCTTTAATTTTTAACATTATGGCAGAAAATCTAAAAGTATTATATAAAACAATCAATTTTAAAAAAATAAATAGCTGATCAGGGAAGAAAATAGGGAAAATTCACAGAGGTAAAAAATGACAATTCCTTTGGGGTGTGTGAATACTAAGATTTTCTAGTGGCATAATGCTTTTGGTACTAAAGTGAAAGCAACAAAACAAGAAAAAGTCTATGGTCTACACAAACTGGGAAGTCTAACAAAACCCTTCTCAAAAAACTGGAACCTCAAATAAGGGACCCAAAGCAAAAGGGTTCATTTGAATAAGTTCCTTCACCATTGAGAAAAACAGTAAAGAGAATGTAGTGGAGGTTAATATCTCCCCAAAGATATGCCAGGTTCTAAATTCTCATGAGCTGTGAATGTAACCTTTTTTGGAAAAAGAGGAAATAGAAGAGGAGGCGGCAAAGTGATCACAGAATCACAGAATGAAGTGATGGGGCCACAAGTCAAGGAACATGGTGACTCCAGTCACCAGAAGCTGGAAGTAAGATAACGAACGAATTCTCCCCTAGAGCCTTCAGAGAGTGTGGCCTTGATGACACCTTGATTTCAGACTTCTGGCCTATGATGGAATAAACTTCTGTTGCCTTAAGCCAATCCATTTGTGGAAATTTGGTGCAGCAGCCACAGACAATGAACACAAAGAATTTGCCTCACTCAGCCTTGTTTTGGGGTAGGGATGGACAGACTGTGTGTCCATGAAAATTCTTCGCCTTTCTGTATGACTGGGGTCAGGCTTTCTTAACACACTCTCTGTGGCCCATGACTGAGTTCAAAGTAGGTCTGGGTTGACAATGTCTCCAAGGAGAAATGATCCTTAAAACTGGGCTTCAGATTGGGCGTGGTGGCTCATGCCTGTAATCCTAGCACTCTGGGAAGCCAAGGTAGGATGACTGCTTGAGGCCAGGATTTTGAGAGCAGCCTGAGCAAGAGTGAGACCCTGCCTCTACTAAAAATAGAAAAATTAGCCAGGCATGCTGGCACATGCCTATAGTCCCAGCTACTCAGGAGACTGAGGAAAGAGGATCGCTCGAGCCCAGGAGCTTGAGGTTGCAGGGAGCTATGATGAAGCCACTGCACTCCAGCCTCAGGCAACAGAGAAAGACCCTGTCTCAAAAAACTAAACAGGCCAGGCGTGGTGGCTCATGCCTGTAATCCTAGTACTCTGGGAGGCCGAGGCAGGCGGATCGCTCAAGGTCAGGAGTTCAAAACCAGCCTGAGCAAGAGCAGGTCCCATCTCTACTAAAGATAGAAAGAAATTAATTGGACAACTAAAAATATATATAAAAAATAATTAGCTGGGCATGGTGGTGCATGCCTGTAGTCCTAGCTACTTGGGAGGCTGAGGTAGTAAGTAGGATTGCTTGAGCCCAAGAGTTTGAGGTTGCTGTGAGCTAGGCTGATGCCATGGCACTCTAGCTGGAGCAACAGAGTGAGACTCTGTCTCAAAAAAACCCCCACAAGCCCATAGTATGGCAAATTTCTGGGGAAAGAACAACAACAAAAAAGAGATAAAAAGAGGTAACAACAGTACTCTTACACACATGTTCCAATCTTACCTTGTGTTTGGGTCTCGTTCAGAAACAGTTTTAGCCTCCTGCTCCGAAGGCCAAATACCTTGGCTGCTTCATACAGAAGACCTTGGTGGGTGAGCCCATTCTGCCCAAGTGGGTTTTCAAGCAGGAGAGTGCCCACGGTTCCCATTAAGCACTCTGTGGAAGGAAGAATAAACTGGATTAAATCCTGAGAGTCCACTATCTCCAACAGAGGTGGCAACTACAGACAGCTCTAATGGGCAGTGCTGAAGGCTTCTGAGGCCAGCAGTGAGTACAGAGCATGCGTGTGACAGCCGGAGGTGCAGTCTATGCGGATCAGCCTTAAACATTTCATAGAGGGAAAGGGGAAAAGAAAAACTGAGTTATATAACAGACATTCAGTATAAAGTCAAGTGGAGAACCTAAAGACTTCATTAAAAATATGCACAATGAGGATCCTAAAAAATTAGGAAAAAATAAATATTAATCTAGTCTCTTGATTAAGGAATGAAGGGTTACAAGTTTTCAGAACATTGTCCAAGAAAAAATAAAGTAAAACTACAAATTAACATGTTTTGATGCTTAAACAATTCCGTTTCATTTAGTTGTAATTGTTACCTAACCAATGTATCTCATTGCCTGACTATGCCATAAAGATGAGGGTTTTTCTACATAAACACACCACGAGAAATAAGCCTGTGGATGTTCCCAAAAGCAGTGGCGAGAGCCTACACTTTAAATCACTACATTGAAGCTGACTCAAACATACACGTAAGTTAAGAGATTTGACCATAAAGGAAATCTTCATGCCCAGCACCCCACAACCTGACTGCTGCGGGGAGGCACGCACCTTGTGGCTCAGCGTTCAGGAGCTGCAGGTTGATGTATTGACAGAGAAGAGTACTAGGACTGCTGATCAGAGAAGGAGCTGATCCTGTAGTCACACAGAGTGTTTTTCCACTAAGACTCAGTAAGTCAGTTTGGTTCTGTATTTCTAAAAACAACAATTTTTTCAGGGTTAGATAGCTCAGAGCTGAAGAATTCCCTTCCTCCCTCCCTCCCTCCCTTTCTTCCTCTCTCTCTCTCTCCATCCATCCATCCATCCACTGAAGAGAGGTTAGACATGAGACATTCACTTTTCTTACTTAAATATTAAAGAAACTATCATGTATCTTTTTTTTTTTTTTTTTGAGACAGAGTCTCGCTTTGTTGCCCAGGCTAGAGTGAGTGCTGTGGCATCAGCCTAGCTCACAGCAATCTCAAGCTCCTGGGCTCAAGTGATCCTCCTGCCGCAGCCTTCCAAGTAGCTGGGACAACAGGCATGTGCCACCATGCCTGGCTAATTTTTTCTATATATATTTTTAGTTGGTCAATTAATTTCTTTCTATTTTTGGTAGAGACGGGGTCTTGCTCAGGCTGGCTTTGAACTCCTGACCTCAAGCTATCCGCCCGCCTCAGCCTCCCAGAGCGGTAGGATTACAAGCGTGAGCCACCACGCCCAGCCTAATTTTTTCTATATATATTAGTTGGCCAATTAATTTCTTTCTATTTTTAGTAGAGACGGGGTCTTCCTCTTGCTCAGGCTGGTTTCGCACTCCTGAACTCAAGCAATCCATCCGCCTTGGCCTCCCAGAGTGCTAGGATTACAGGCGTGAGCCACCATGCCCAGCCTCATGTATCTTTTCATACTATGCTTTCTGCTTAATTTTTTGTGTGTCAAAAAACATTGCCTTTTGTATAAACCAGGCTTTTAATGACATACAACAGTAGGAAATCTTAATGTTGCAAAATAAATGGCATAATATTAATGACTTAAAATATAAGGCAAATTGTTTTCTCCCCTTTTAATATTTTCTCTGTATACTGTGGCTCCTCCTAAGATTTCCAGAATTTTAGGAGGAGCCTATATCAGAATCCCAAGCTTCACCATGAAAAGCTTCAATAAGAAATGATAATTACAGTTGGAAGGTTAAATTGACTCTTGAAAAGATTCAAAAAAAACTAAGACACAACACATGTAGCATAATTTCATTTAGATAAAATTAACATTGCTTAGGGCTGTATACATAAATGACTAGTATTGGTTATGATAAGAGATAAGTGCACTGGGCACCCTGCAAATATTGAGTGGAAGTGGCACATATGAGACCGGGCAGGGGCCGTTTCTCAAGGAACAAGGAACCTGCATCACCAAGTGGCTGGATGCCCATGCCCATGCCCACAGCCACATGGTCTCCTTTCTCAACCACAACTGTGGCCTCATGGGAAGTGACCAGACAAATGAGAAAGAAAATATTTTGGGTCTGCAGTTATAGATGGTTCCGTATAACATTCTGTACCATTGAAAGTAGACAACTGCAGTCTTACAGCCCCACTCTGACTCTGGGTGGCCCTAAAGAACAGTGGTGGACAGAAATCCTAACAACAGGCATGACTTTGTTCTGTGCAGCTGGCTGTTCATTTTGCTCAGGAGGAGGAATCACCAGGAGTGGATCTACACTGATTCACAGGCATTGACTAATGGTTGGACTGAATGGGAACAGTTAGGGCTCAGAAAGAATAGACTGGTGACAAGTAAGTTAGGGCAAGATATATGTGGACAGATCTCTCCAAATGGGCAGACAGTGTATGAATGAGGATATAAAAATCGGATGGACAATATGATTCATTCTGTCCGTAGCCACTGTGTCCTTGCCCAATGGACTGATAAAGGGGCCATACAGGTGGGGAGGAAGGATACTCATGGGCTCAGCAACATCACTTGCCACTCCCCAAAGCTGATTTTGCTACTATGTATGTCACCTTCCATTAGCAGTAACCATTACTAAGTTTCTAATATTGCATTATTGCCAGGGGAGATGAGCCAGGTCCCCGATGGCAGGCTGGTTATACTGGATCATTTCCATTGTAGAAAAGTCAGTGCTTTGTCCTTACTGGAACACACATGTCTCTTGAACATGGATTTGTCACTGTTGCCTGTAATGTTTCTGTTCAAACCCACCAACCATGGACTTAGAAAATGCCTTATCAAAACATACACTGGGGAAAGGACACCCTTTTCAATAAATGGCTGTAAAAATTGGATTGCCATATGCAGAAGAATGAAACTGAACCCCATCTCTCATCATATCCAAAAATCAATTCAAGATGGATTAAAGACTTGAATGTGAGACCTGAAACTATAAAAATACTAGAAGAAAAACTAGGGAAAACTCTACTGGACATTGGTCTAGGCAAAATTTATGACTAAGATCTCAAAAGCTAAGGCAACAACAAAAGTAGACAAATGGGACTTAATTAGACTACAAAGCTTTTGCACAGCAAAAGAAATAATCAATAATGAACAAACAATCTGTAGAAAAGGAGAAAATATTTGCAAACTATATACCCGACAGGGGACTAATATCCAGAATCCACAAGGAACACAACAACAAAAAACCCCTAAACAACCCCATTAAAAAGTGGGCTAAGGAGGTGAATAGACAGTTTTCCAAAGAAGACAAATGGCCAGCAAGCATATGAAAAAATGTCCAACATCACTAATCATCAGAGAAATACAAATCAAAACCATAATGAGATCACCTCACATCAATCAGAATGGCTATTATCGAAGACACAAAAAATAACAGATGTTGACAAGGATGCAGAGAAAAGGGACTCATATACTGTTGCTAGTAATGTAAATTAGTGCAACTTCTGTGGAAAACACTATGGAGATTTCTCAAAGAACTAAAAATAGAACTACCATATGATCCAGCAGTCCCACTACAGGATACCTACCCAAAGCAAAAGTAATCACCTATATATAAAAGATATCCGCACTTGTATGATTATCGCAGCACTGTTTCACAACAGCAAAGACATGGAATCAACCTAAGTGTCCATCAACAGTATTCGATAAAGAAAATGTGGTATATATACACAATGGAATACTATTCGGCCATAAAAAAGAATGAAATTATGTCTTTTGAAGTAACATGGATGGAATTTGAGGCCATTAAGTGAAACAACTCAGACACAGAAAGACAAATAACATACATTCTCCTTTATAAGTAGGAGCTAAATAATGTGTACACATAGAAGCAGAGCATGGAATGATGAACATTGGAGACTCAGAGGGTGGGGAAAGAAGGGGGGTGGCTGATGGGAGGTTGCTTGGTGGGCACAATATGCATTGCTCCAGTGGTGGATGCACTGAGGCCCTAACTTCACCACAATGCAATATGCTCATATAGCAAAATTGCACTTGTACTCCATGAATGAATATATCTATATCTCTCTCTCTCTATATATATATATAGAAATATATAAAGGGAGAATGTCTCATTCACCAACATGGCATTCCACACATCACTTCTGACGACAGAACTCATTTTTTAGCAAATGAACTATGGCAAGGTGCTCAAGTTCAGGGAATTTGCTGGCCATACCATGTTCCCTACCATCTGAAGCAGCTGATCTAATAAAATCATGGAATGGCCTTTTGAAGACTCAGTTTCAGGCCGACCTGGGCAGTAACACCTCACAGGGCTAGAATATTATCCATCAAAATGCTGTTTGTGCTTTAAATGAGAGAAAGGTAGACTATGGCCCAGCCTGGCTGCCTATGTACCTAAATAAGTAAAGTTTTAATAAAACATTGCCTTGCCCATTGGTTTACAAATTATCGTGGCTGCTTTTGTATTACAATGGCACAGTTAATGGCTCCTACTCTAAAATGTTTAATATATGCCCTTTGAGAAAGTTTACTGACCTCTACACCCTAACTCATAGACCCATATATGGTACCATTTCTCTCACACACAGCTAAGATTCAGGGTGCAGACATCAAGAGGGAGGATAGATGAAAGTGGTTCATCTGTCAGCCTTAATAATCCACTCTACTTCTTTGATCTCTGCTAGTTTAGAGGTTTAGTTCCTAAGGGAAGAATGCCTCTCACCAGGCAACAATGGTTTTGAGAAAGCTGAGGGGGGCGTGGGTCCTACATTGACCAATAATGGTAAACTTCTCCCTTCTAAATCCTGTACAGATTACTCTGTGGTCAAGCTATTATTCAGAACCAGGCCAGCCAGAGAATCTGGGAAACAGTTCTAGCTTAGCTACAGCGACATAGGATGAAACCACCACTGTCCACCCCCCGTGATCTTGGCATCTATACATGGTTCTGTGAACCATATTTAACTTCCAAATAAAGACCCTAATAAATTAAATCATGCTTTCACCTCTTCCTTGTACAACTTAACACATGCTAATAACTGCATTAGCCAAACCAAGACACAAAGTCACCTTATCCATCTTTGGGTGACAGTAATTTCTCTTCTAGCTGAGTCACACACACCCCTTTACTGTACTTTATACTTTAACATTATCAAGATATAAGTTAACCTATTAAAATATTTTGTTATATGGTAGGGAAATAAGAGAGTAGAAAAATAAGAATTTGTTAGTATGTACACAAATACATCCCTATCTAATAAGAAAGATGTAACTATTACAGTCCTGGGTTTTGTAACTGATCATATGGTTAATGCTTTAATCTATCATTTCCTTCCTGTTACCCATTCCTTAGGCCTTTTGGCTTTAGCAAGTATCCTTCATGATGGGATAATCCAAATCTTTTCTGAAGGACTAGAGCCATTAAAATACCTGCTTATACTGGATTTTCATAGTTGTTCATTCATTTTATCACTGATAAGGCACAGGGGATCTCCTGTATTCTAGACATATTTCTTACCCTTCATTGTATAATCAATTAATCACCCCAGTCAGGACAGTAGCCACCCACTCCATTTGCTGGTTGGTTCACTGGACAAAGCAGCTCAAAGTGACCAAGTGTCAACTTTCGGTCTAACAAAACCATTGTTTTGTTGTGGATCAGCTTGCTGTGTTAAGTGAGACAGTGAGTGGCTGGTGCTCCTGCCACAGTTCTTCCAAATTCTGGCCAGGCACATGTGCAACTCTCAGGCAAACTGCACCAGCAACTGCTTCTGCAGGTCACCTGACTGTCAGTGTCAGATGTGGTTAGATAGATGTGAGATCCAGCCTGTCATTGCTTTTCCCTACTTTACATCCTACAAGTGGTTTCAGGCAGAGATTCAAGCCTTTCACTAACTTACTCACCAGCTCCCCCTGATGGACTCTGGTTAGAGATTTTTCTCAGAGATCCAACTTGCTACCTTCTTCCAGACCTTTACTTCCAGCCCCAACTCAGAGAATCAGGAAAAATGCAAAGGTTATGCAGTATAACTGACACCAAATTAAGACCTCCACTAATCCACCTTGTGTCAAAGGATACACATATCCCCTCACTTTCCACGTACCTGTTTTATCATGGAAGACAGTCACCTCCATATTTTTAACACCAAAAATGCTAGTAACAACATTTTTCAGCTTTAAAAGGTCCAACCTATTATCACCTTTTGGATTTTCCAGAAGCAATACCCCACCTAAAAAAAACACAAAAATAAGACTTCATTCAGAAAAAAACTTAAAAAGAAAACGTTAAATTTGGAGGAAAAAATATATGAGGGGGGAGGAGATGTCAAACTGTTTTAATTTTTTTCCTTTTTTTTACCCAAGTATATACTATATATACCCTTAGTCTATGTTTTGGCAATCCTTGATAGATATGGTCCAGGAATAGAACTCTACCAGGCCATCTGTTCTTGTCTTTAATTTATAGATTCAAACCTTTGTATTTATGATCCTCATTTTTCATTTTGTACCATTTAGAAACCCTCAAGGTGCAGTTACTAAAAATACTATTTTTTTTACTAATAGCTCGCTAGTTTACACATATAAAATTGACTTTTGTATGTCTGTCTTATATCCTGTGACTCAAGTTTTTTCTTTTTTATAAGAAACACGATTTTATTCAATTACTTTGGAAACAAACCCTATTAATGTATCCAAAAAGTACAAAAAATGGCCAAAAGTATTTTAAAATAATAGACTTAAAGATCATTTGCAGTTTCTTCCTCATAACATGAATGTTTTCAGCAGGACAATAAATCGTAAATATCATATCATGTTAAGGTAGATGACAGTCTGTGGTTGCATTTGAAGCTATTCCCAGGAAAATAATCTTGTTGGAGCTAGGAGCTTTTCTTCCCAGTTGGTCAGTTGACCCAAGAATGGGCAGTCTTGGAGCTGGCAGATACGAGAACCCTGGCCTTGCTAACATTAGTAATGCACACCCACTGACCAGTCAACTGATTTCTTTCTTCTACAGGGTCATCTGAGATAGCCAGGATGTTGGTAGTGGTGGACTAACTCATATGTCACTAGCTCACATCATCACTGAACTCGTGTAGCAGTTCAAGGATCACATACTATCTGAGGCATTATAAACAGGTCTAAATAAACATATAACCATCATGGGAGCAGCTAGCAGTGGTGCTGGTAAGCAGACCAACATAGTGGTCTCAGGCCACATCTTGAAAACAGTCACTGTGAGCTTCTTATTGGTTCTAGGTGTTCTTAAGTAGATTCTTTTTTATTTTCCACAGGGGCAGCTTTATTTCTCTCTTTCTGATCTGTATGCCTTTTATTTCCCCTTCTTGCCTTAGTTCACTGGCTAGAAATTCCAGTACAAAGTTGAATAAAAGCTGTGAAAACGAACATCCTGTTCCTGACCTTAGGTAGAAAACATTCAGGCTTTTCCCATAAAGGTAGCTGCAGGATTTTTGTAGATGCTCATTATCAAGTTGACGAAGGTCCCCTCTCTTCCTATTTTTCTGAGGGCTTTTATCATAAATGGGTGTTTAATTCATCAAATGGTCTCTCGAAATCAACTACTACAGACACGTAATCTTTTAGTCTGATAATATGTTAAGATACTATTGATTGATTTTTAAATATTGAATCAGCTTTGCATCCATAGAATCACACCCCAATTGGCCAAGATGCATAACTCTTTGTACATATATATAGCTGAATTCCATTCAACAATTTTTTGGTAAGAATTTTACATTTATATTTATGAGTGATATTAGTCAGTTTTCCTTTTCTATCTTTGTTTTTTTTGGTGTTAATTTTTTTAAAAAATCTGGTCAAACTCTTCAGTGAAACGATTTGGGCCTGGAGATTTCTTGAGATTTTAAATTTTGAAAATCTTCTTAATAATTATACAGCCATTCAAATTAATCATATATTAATATTTCATATTTGGTGAGTTGTGGTTGTTTTTTAGAAATTGGTTCATTTCATCCATTTTCTCAAATTTATGTGGGCAGATTTATTTACAGTATTTGCTTATCTTTTTTATTTTTGCAGAGTCTGCATGATATCCTGTTTCATTCCAGATATTGGCAATTGTGTCTTCTTTTTTCCTTATTGGTCTTGGTAGAGGTTTATAAATTTTACTGATTTAAGAACTAGATTCTTGTTTTATTTTCTCTATTGTTTTCCTGTTTTCAATTGCATTGATTTCTCTTCTTTATTTCCTTCCTTCTGCTTACTTTGGGTTTGTTTTCTTTTCATTCCACCTAGTTTCTTGAGTTTAGATCTTAGATTATGACATAAAAATGCTCACTCCTTTTAGTCTACAGTACAATTTTCCCTCTCAGCACTGCTTTAGCTACATTACATATTTTGACGTTGCACCTTTTGTTTCACACACTTCTGTTTTTTTTTGTTTTTGAGACTTCTTCCCTTATCATGAAATACGTTGTTTACTTTTCAGGGTATGGAGATTTTCATTTTATTCTGTTACTGATACATAGTTTGACTACACTGTGAACAGAACAGAGAGCACACGCTATATGATTTCAACTCTTTCAACTGGCCGAGGTTTGATTTATGACCCAGGGACCAAGCTATAGTCTATCTTAGCAAAATTCAGTGGGAGCTTGAAAAGAATTTATATTTTATTGCTATTGAGTAGGGTGTTCTATAAATGTCAATTAGATCTTGATTTTCTGTCTAAATGGTCTATCAACTGCTGGAAGAGGCATGCTGATGTCTCCAAATACAAATGTGGATTTGTCTGTTTCTCCTTTAATGTCTATAATCTTGTTTGCAGCTCTGTTGTTATATGCATATGCATTTAGGATCATTCTGTTTTCCCTGTGAATTGACACTTGTATCATTATTTAATGTTCCTGATAATCTTCTTGCTCTTAAGTCTATTTCATCTAATATAAACACGGCCATTTCTGCTATCTTTTGACTACTGTTTGAATGGTATATCATTTTCTACCCTTTTTCTTTCAACCTACTTATATCATTATATTTGAAGGGTCATAGGGTCTCACTGTTGCTCAGGTTGGTGTGCAATGGCACAATCATAGGTCAGTGTAGCCTTGAAATCCTGGACTCTGCCTCAGTGATCCTCTGCCTCAGCTTTCTTAATATTATAGCTGGGACTATAGGTACACACCACCATATCCAGTTAAACTTTTTTTTTTTTTTGAGACAGAGTCTCGCTTTCTTGCCTAGGTTAGAGTGAGTGCCATGGCGTCAGCCTAGCGCACAGCAACCTCAAACTCCTGGGCTTAAGCAATCCTACTGCCTCAGCCTCCCGAGTTGCTGGGACTACAGGCACGAGCCACCATGCCCGGCTAATTTATATATATATATTAGTTGGCCAATTAATTTCTTTCTATTTTTTTATAGTAGAGACGGGGTCTCGCTCAGGCTGGTTTTGAACTCCTGACCTTGAGCAATCCGCCCGCCTCGGCCTCCCAGAGTGCTAGGATTACAAGCGTGAGCCACCGCGCCCGGCCTTTTTTTTTTTTTTTTTAATAGAGATGGGGTCTTTTTATGTTGCCAAAGCTGGTCTTGAACTCTTGGCTTCAAGTGACTCTCCCACCTCGGCCAAAGTACAGAGATTCACCACACCTGGCCTCTAATGTGATTTTAATAACTCTGCCAATTTCTGTTAATTAGTATATTTAGATCATTTTACATTTACTATAATTATTGGTATTGGTCTTCCATTTAATTTCTTGTTTTTTTTTCTAGCTTCCTATAGGTTACTTAAACATATTTCAGAATCCCAGTTTTTGTCTATGTTTTATATGTATTCCTTGGCATAGGCTTATTACTGAAGTCTACTGGTGTCAACATTTTACCAGTTTGTGAGAAACACGGAAAACTTACCCCTCTTTCCTCTGCCCTATGTGTAATCATCTTAACTATTTCATACACAGGTAAGTCCTCACTTAATGTTGTCGATAGGTTCCTAGAAACTGTGACTTTTAAGTTCCTATAGCACACAGTACTTTGTTTCACTTAAAATCAGTTTCTAAGAACCTATTGATGATGTCGAGGACTTACTGCATATACATTGAAAACTACATCAAACAAGGTTATAGTGCTTGTTGCAACCATGACTTAAGTTCAAGAGGAAGGCAAGTCTACTGAATTAACCTTCATTTTGATGCTCCAGTGTTCTTTCTTCCTTCCTCATGTTTCTGAATTCGCTGCTATCATTTCCTTTCTGTGTTAAGAACATCCTTTAATCATTCTTTTGTGGTTGGTCTGCTGGCAACAAATTCTTTTAGTTCTCCTTCACTTGAGAATGTCTTGATTTTTCCATCATCCTTAAATATTTTTTTATTAATATAAAATTCTAGATTGGCCAGGTGTAATGGCTCACGCCTAAAATCCTATTAAATGTGGAATGTCCCATTTTGAATCAGAAGTGTAGTTTATTATATCTCAAACAAGAAGCAGCACAATTAATCACAGTATGCACCGGAACTAGCAACACAGTGTTGCCATCTTAATGGTAGCTTGTTTATGCCAGCAGCCTGGAGAGCCAGTGGTGGTGAGAGCATGAAAGGAGTTTTACACAGCTTGTTGAGAATTGAATATTTTTCCTTGCAAGAAGTGGTCCAAAGCCTGGAAGGAGTGGTAGTCAGTTGGTACAAGGTGTGGTGAATATGGTGAATGACAGAATGTTTCCAAGTCCATCTTTTATAGTTTGAGCAGTGCAGTTTGTGCAACACGTGGTCAAGCGCTGTCTTGCAAGAGGATTGGCCTGTCTCTGGTGACCAATCTCGGCTGCTTAATCACAAGCATCCTCACCATTTTATCCAACTGGTTGCAGTAGATCTGCTGTAATTGACTGACCAGGTTTCATAAAGCTTTAGTACATAATATCAGCACTGGACCACCAGACACCATTAACTTTTTTTGATAAATATTTGGTTTCGGGTTGTTTCCATACTTCACCTTCATCCAACTGTTGTGCAGAATGCTTGCGATTGTCAAGAAGAATCCATTCCATCACATGTAACAATACAGCGTAGACATGGTTTGCTTTTATGTTGTGACAGCAAAGAAAAGCAAGCTTCAAAACCATTTCTCTTCTGATGCTCGTTTAATTCATGCAGAACCCATCTATCTAACTTCTTTACCTTGCCTATTTGTTTCAAATGGTCCAATATTGTTGGAATAATAACATCAAACCTTGGTGCTAATTCACATGTAGGTTGAGATGAATTCGCTTCCACTACAACTTTCAGCTCATTGTCATCTATCTTGCTGTCAGGTCACCCATTTAGCCTCATTTTCAAGATTAAAATCTCCGGAATAGAGCTTCTCAAACCACTGACCTACTGTGTGTTCATTGGCCACATGCTTCCCAAACACTGCATTGATATTTCAAGTTGTCTGTGCTGCATTGGTTCCATGATGGAACTCATATTTGAAAATAACATGAATTTTTGACTTACTCATGGTTCCATAAAAATTGCTTTAAAAAAAAAAACTGAAAGATAATCACAAGCCAAAAGGCGTTTGAAAGACTGAAAATGTACCTTCACACTAAAAATAAAGCAGGAAATGTCAAAGTGAAATGCCAATGATGTCACCTGTCAAATTTAGTACTTAAGGAAATCAGACATTTCATACTTAATAACCTAAGCACTCTGGGAGGCTGAGGTGGAAGGATTGCTTGAGCTAAAGAGTTCAAGACAAGCCTGAACAAGAGTGAGACTCCATCACTATTAAAAATAGAAAAATTAGCCAGGTGTGTGGTGCACACCTGTAGTGCCAGCTACTTGAGAAGCTGAGGCAGGAGGATCACTTGAGCCCAGAAGCTGGAGGTTGCAGTGAGCTATGATGATGCCACTGTACTCTACCCGGGGGAACAGAATGGGACTCTGTCGCAAAAAAAAAAAAATACATAAAAAAATAAAATTTTGGGTAGACAGTATTTATCTTTCAACACTTGGATAATGCTATCCTTTTAACTTTCTGGCCTCTGTGGTTAATGAAATACTGTATCATTCAAATTGTTGTTCCCCTGTAAGTTAGGTGTTGCATTTCTTTCCCTGCTTTCAAGATTTTTCTTGTCTTCAGTTTTCAGAAGTTGACCATAATATATCTCGACGTGGATTCTTTTGGTTTTATCCTGTTTGGGTTTCACTGAGTGCCTTAGTCCATTCAGGCTGCAGTAACAAAACACCATAGCCTGGGTAGCTTATAAACAATAGAAATTTATTTCTCACAGTTCCAGAGACTAAGAACTGGCCAAGACCAAAGTGCTAGCAGATTTGGTGTCTGGTGAGAGCCCATTTCCTGGTTCACAGATGGTACTTTCTTGCTGTGTCCTCACAGGTGGAAGGGATGGCTAGCCCTCTATGGTCTCTTTCATAAGTGCAAAAATCCCATTCATGAAAGCTCTGCCCTCGTGACCTTCCGGACATCCAGAGGCCCCACCTCCTAACACCATCACCTTAGTTAGGGGTTGGGATTTTAACATAAATTTTACAGGGACACAAACATTCAGTCCATAGCACTTTCTTAAATCTGTAGGTTTACATGTTTTGCCAAATTTAGGTTTTCAGTCATTATTTCTTTGAATATCTCTTCAGTCCTATCCTCTTTCTCTTCTTCTAACTCCAATAACAAAAGAATGTTAATTTTTTGTTACTTGTTCCACAGGTCCTTTAGGCTCAGGAAATGTTTTTCAATTATCTGTTGTTAAGAATGGGTAATTTCTACTATTCCACCTTCTAGCTCACAGATTGTTTCCTCTTCCTTCTGTTCTACTCTTGAGCCTATCCACTGACTTTTATTTCAGTTTATATTTTTCAGTTCTAAAATTTCCATTTGATTCTTCTTTTTATCTTTTCTTCCTTTGCTGAGGCTTTGTATTTTTCATTTATTTCTGTTGTGTTTGTTATTGCTCCTTGAAGCAATTGTAGTATGGCCACTTTAAATTCTGTGAGATAATTTTATCATTTGTCATCTTGCTATTTTTATCTATCAATTATTTTTTCATTCAGTTTGAGACCTTCCTGGTTCTTGATATGACTAAGTGATTTTCATTGATACCTTGCTATTTTAGGTATTATAAGACTCTGGTTCTTATTTAAACTCTGTATCTTCACTGATTTTGTCTGAAGTCACACTGGCAGGGGAAACAGGGGCACTGCTCAGTTTGCTTTCTGGTGCGAGTAGAAGTCCAGGTTCACTATCAGCCTCCACTGACACCAAGGTCAGGACAATTTGTTAGTGCTGGGGGTGGCATGGGAGGGAGTTCTCACTCTCTTTTAGGCCTCTACCATTACTTCCAGGCCAAGAAAGGTAGTGCCTCTTTACTGCGCCCGATGTGGCCTTTACTGACACCTCAGGAAGTGGTGGTAGTATGTGGCTTCATTATTGCCATGAATTCATGAGTGGGAAGGATGCTTTGTTATTACCCAGTGGGGACAGAAAGCCAAGCTTTCCATGTGGTATCCACTGACACCACAGGGCAGAAGGGCTCATCAATGCCTAGAAAGGACGAAAGTCCCAACTCCCTGCTTGGTCTTCGAGAAGACCACCATGGTAGCCAGGGGGGTCTTGAGGGTTCTCAACATGGCAAGGATGGACGTCTAGGCACCCCTCTTGGCCTTTTCTGGTATGGGTAATGATGAGGTCAGTTTTTTTCTGTGGTGTTTTGCAGAAGTAGAGCAGTTAAATTGTCTAAAAATTTTCTTTCTTGCTAGCTTGCCTTACCCTTGATCTTTGGTCTAGAGAGAGCAGGATTTTGGGGGGGGCTTTTGCTATACTTGTTGGCATTTCTAGGTTGCCAGCTTATTAAGCTCTAACTTTGGGATATATGAGGCAAACCAGAAAATCCAGGGAACTCATTACTGTTATTTAACTTGATTAGAAGGTCCCTAGCTGCTCTGCTTTCATTATTTGTTTTTATGTACGATGTCCAGATGTCTAGAGGTACTCAGTGGGAAGAATGGGGAAAAGTACATCTACTCCACCACTCCCACAATTGCAAATCCAGTCATTTACTTTAGTGGACTCATTTTGATTATAATTTTAAAAAGTTATCTGATTCTACCAATTCCCTTAGAATAGCCTTAAAAACATTCACTGGTTTAACTTTAAAAAAAAACCATATATAAATCGTGGAATTTATTTACTCTTACCTTGTTCACTGCCATTTGCACAAATGTTAAGATTGACATATGCACAAGCAGGACTAGGCAGGGATGATCCTTTGGTGAGTGTAATTTCGAGTTCAGACCCCTTTAACTGAACACATGAGAACATATGACTGAGTAACTGCAGCATCTGACTGCAATGTGCTATATAATGTTAAGTAACATCTCAGTAAGAACAACAAGAGCTCTATACAATTCTAAGAATATATTCAACGTCATGAAAGAGTCAAGAGCTATATATGCCCATTTTTTTCTTTTACCCTGTTCTCTTAAAAATGTAAATCTTTTTTTCTGATTATATAAGTTCATTTTTAAAAAGTCAAATAATTACACAATATGCAAAATAGAAAATCAAGCAACACTGCAACTCGCCCCAATGAAAAGACAAATAGCTGTTTTTGGCCCTTCTTTGTCCTGTTTGTCCCACATAAAGAAGAAATGAGACAAGGAGAAAGTGATTAAATAAATGACTGAGATATATTATAAATGACCTACTTCTGAATTATGAGCCAATATCTTCTTTGTCTTGGTAACAGACTTTCATAGTTATATCTAAAATCCCTCGATGTAAAAATAGAAAATACTACTGTAATTTTTTTCTATTTTAATTTTATATATAACCTACTAACTACTCTAAAAATTAAATGCTTTGAAAGCAAACTTTTCACTTTTTTTTTTTTTTGAGATACGGCCTTGCTCTGTTGCCCAGGCTAGAGTACAGTGGCATCATCACAGCTCA